TACAAAAAATGTCTTCAGTAATCTTCCAACAGGGAAAATAGGTCAAGAAGAATGACAGACACCAGAAGGTGTGAGTGTGCTCTGCTGTGAAAAACATATGTTTCTTATGAAGTCAATATATGACATATATTTGTAAAAGAGAACACATATTAATTACACTTCTCTGTTGCAGTTTTTACCATGGTTTTATCAACTGTTTTTTTTTTTTTTCATGTGATGTATAATTCTAACTCTCTCAAGCCCATTTGATTATTAAACAGTGGAAGATATAGAGGATGATATTTTATTTCCGGGTGGATTATCTAAATAAGTGGTCCTCCTAATTGTCAATCATTGTGGTGATATGTTTATGTAACTCCAAGACAATATGTTGGATGCAGCTGTCTCCCAGACCTTAAGTGCGTTAGGGAGTTTCCTGTGTGCATACAGAACTAGATATCCTCCACCTGAAGTAGTTTATCTTACTTACTAAAAACTATTTAGAATATGTTATTCCTAATGGGTGTGTTTGCATGAGATTTTGAGAGAAATAACTAGTATTTATTTCCTGCTACTCAGGGAATTTTCACTGATGTTAACAAAAAAATAAATATAAAAGTAAGAAAGAAAACATTGTTCTGTAAAAAATGTAAAAAAATAAAACATGTAAATATTGTATGTAAATACATAATCACTATCCCCATTGATACTGTAATTTTAAAAGCACTTCTTGACACTTTCTCTTAAAAAAAAGTAAGCACCATATTAATAGGACTGAAGACATGTCATCTCTACCCATAGTGTTTGATGCACTTTTTTTTTTACATAGGACAAGGACAGTTATTTCACACACACACACAAAAAAATTCAGATGGGAATATGTCAAATGGTCATGTCTAATGGGATAAGGATATATATGAGGACATTTGTTAATAAGATGATCTATGCAGAAAATGGTTTTAACCTACAATGTAGAAAACAGAAAACAATACTAATTTCCTACCAATTTATCCAAAACCTCCTAAATTAGTTTGATAGAAGCAGAATTTCACAGGACTATGATCTACAAAGGATCCTTCAGCATTAGATGGTTCAATAATTAGCTTTCCACTGCAACTCATTTTCTTTCTGTGCATCCTAAATGAAGAGTTTGTATAAAACTGGACTATTAGAATTCATCATAGTATTTCACCTTCTTTCCAATCCTCCACATGTGCAATATTAGTTTAATGTGACTTTATCATGGTCAAACATTATGCTGTTACCGGGGTGATAACTGTCTGCTAAGACAGACAATATTCTATATGTAAAACGTTGGCAGCTGGATGCTGTAGTGAATTTAAAAACTTACAACTGAAACTGGACTGATTACAGTAAGAAAACTGAAATCTGCACAGGCACTTGTCTTGCTTAATATTGCTACGCTGTATGGTTTGATGACAGTTATTGGAAGGGACTCTGATGCATTCTGATGTATTCAGCCTGTATGAATGGCGGTCGGAACTAAAACAGGAATTGAAACTTTTATCTCGATGTTCCTATATTTCAATTTGTTTTTGTTGTTGTTGTTTTTCATAAGCTAATCTGCCACTCTGACAGATTACAGAAAATTTGAAAACATGATAAAAGTTTTTAAATTCTTTAGTCCTGGTTTGCAAGGTCCCCAGGCCATTGCTCGCAGGCAATATTTCTCCCCTTAATAGATTTCAAAATTATCCTTTAAATTAGTGTTTTCCAAAGTGTGTGGCCAGCCCCTTGGAGGGTGGCAGGGGAGGAGGGTTATGGAAGAATAAATTAATTTATTATTTTTATTATTGATGTTGAATATGGTTACACAGTAAAACAAACAAATAAAATAAAAAATACACTTTTTAAATATGTTATTTATATTCAAAGTGTATAATTTATTAAATTAAAATATGTAATTTACTATAGTGAATTTTCCTGGGTGTGGGATAATGGTAATTCCTTTATTATAATTCATATAAACAGAAGGGGGACCCAGCAATAAAGTGTGTCAACAATTGTTCTAAATCTTTATGTGTTAAACTGTCATTTCAGTTGGAGAGATACTGACGGCACTTATGTCTTGGGTGAGCATTGCATATGTATCGTTACCCAAGTTTACATTTTTATACATGGACATTTTTCTATATCTTTCAACTGCAATATCACCTATATTCGTGGTTTGTTTTTTTTGTTTTGTTTTCCTTATTAGCTCTCTTTTAAGGAAATGTCAGGCATTACATATGCCCATTAAGGAGACAATAATATTACTCAAAAGCTATTTACAACAGAGACATGGTAAAAATACAAAAATTCACAAAGTAAAAGCAGAAAATCAACAGCTGATCTAGAATAACAAAAAAGCAGGTAACAACAGTTGTACTAATCTTTCACAGTAAATTAAATTCCATAAACTCCAAAGGCTCTGCGGTGTAGGAAACTGTGGTGGTTGAGTAGAGACAGCAGACTCCCAAATCTGAATTCAAATGAACTTTTTTTTTCCTTAAGTATCAATTTCGAAAATTAATTTTAGACCTTGGATGCACTGATAGTCTGTAATGTCCAAACGTGTATTTATTTTTGCTTATTCAAATTACTGTAAGCCTTGTGGAAGTCACCACAAAATGTGGTTTTCAGTGCAATTTTTTATACACAATTCAGGTATGCAAAAGTTTGCAATTAAAAAGTCTTCATGTCTTTGAGCCTCTGCCGCTTTTCCAGTTCAAGGCTTTTTTTGTTTCAAATTCCCATATCCAGCAACAGGATTAAAGTGTTTTTCTTTCATATAAAAAGAAAAAAAACAGCAAAGAGTTCTAGTAGGTCACTGCAAGCAGGCATTGTCCAAAACTGAGACCCTCCTAATTGATTGCACTTGATTTTTTGATTGGATTAGATGTTCCACTGTCAAACCCTGTTACATGAATTTAAATCACATATTTTTCACTGTCACGTAGTTGTTAAGCATATTTTGAATACGCTGTGGTCTGAAATCCATAAAGATGAGTCTCTTAAATAGATTATCTGCTCTGTTATTCCATCATGTGCACAACAGAAGACAGTAAGTGCCCTTTTCAAACAGTGGAAATCTGATATGGGTATAAAAAAAAAAAAAAACTATAAAGAGAACTGCAGCATAGTCCTGACGGGAACTCCACTTTTATCCTGCTTAGCATTAGAAATAAGACGGCTTCACTGTTGATATATTGTTATTTGATGGGTAGTGTCCTTGTATCAAGGGAGCCTCATGTTCCAAACTACCGTTTTGTTGCAATAATGGAGGTGGTTGTGGTGTTTGGCAACGATCTCCCTGAGGCTGTTTGATAGGAAGTTTAGCATGGACTCCATTTTCCATACAAACTTTAACTTCCTCAAAGTCCATTGCCTCAGGATCTGTTGGGCCAAGCTCTAACTCCAATCCTGCAGTTGCCTGCCTTTTCTTCTGTACACAGACTATAGCTCCAGCCACAGCAGCCAACAACAGAACTAATGCTAGGACCACAAGGGCTGCAATGAGAGTCTTTGTCATAGGGGTCTCTGGATTTACTAAAGGCTCTACAGACACAGTAGGACTAGTGCGAGCCTCTGTACAGGGACCCATTTCTACAGAGCTGTTGCCTTTAAAACGGATCTTTTCTCCAAGGGGACTGGCACAGACTAAATAGGTGCAGTTTGGTCTCAAACCACGCAAAGTGTATTCAGGGTAGGATGTTGGTAAACTCAGAATCATAGGACGACGGTCAGGACCTGAAAGGTTACGGTAGGTCAGCCTGATACCACGGATGTTGGGCCGGGTCTCAATGAAGCTGTGCAGGTCAAGAAGTATTGATGTTGATGTAACTTCCCGTGAGCTGATCTCGTCAAGTTTATAGGCCAACACCGAGGTTACCACAGAAACCTCTGTTGCGGAAGGCTGCAGGAACTCCGTTTTTTCTCTTACAGTTTCACAGTAGAGGCCTGATGTTCCTGATGAGCACAAACAGGTGATTGTTCCGCTTAAATCAAAATAGCAAGTCCCGCCATTGAGACAAATGTTTTGCGGGCAGAAATGTAGCTCATTTTCCAGCCCTGGAAAACTCGGGGAAACTGGAGGTTCTGATCCAAAGCGAGGATTGTCTGTTACGAAGGACAAACTTTCATCACTAGGAGGTGGAGGAGGAGGAATGGCGTTGGTATAGGTGGTTTCTGAAGACGTTGTAGGGATTTGGGGAACATGAGTATTTTCTAGAGGATAGCCAATAGATTCCGTTGTGGTAAGAGGACATCCAAAATCTTTGTGCTCCAATGCGGAAAGCTTCTTCCCAGCATTAACTAGAGGAAAATGGCATCTGGTTTCCTCAGGTCTCATCATCATGATGTGTTTTTTTTCTTTTAGCCAAACAGGGAACCAGGCTAACGGACAAAGGCAATTAAAAGGGTTCTCAGCTATGGTCAGTTTTGTCAACTTGGGAAAGTTTTCAAAAAAACCTTCAGGAAAACCCTGGAGATTAATTCCGCTTAGATCCAGTTCTTGAATTGCGACCAGCTGCTTAAGATCACTAACTTTCACTTCGAAAAGTGGGTTAGCAGCCAGGCTTAGTTTGGTAAGGCCCTTTAGAGATTCCTGCTTTAGAGCTTGAGGGACTTCTTGTAACTTATTCGATGATAAGTCAAGCTCATGAAGGTTTCTCATGGAGGCTACGAGAGCTTCGTCCAAAGAGGAGAGACCCAATGAGGATAGTTTTAGGGTTTCTAGATGAGGAGTATGGAAGTTTGGGGATTCAAGTGTTGGGATTTTATTGTTGCTAAGATCTATAAGAAGTAGTCTGGGAAAATCGATCGAAGGCAGAGATGTAAGCTTGTTTTCTTGCAGTTTCAGCTCCAACAGCATCTCTAAACCTTCAAAAGCCTCCGGGTGAATGCTCTGTATGAGGTTTCCATGGAGATACAGCCTCTCTAACTGGACTAAGCCTGAGAAACTTTCCTTGGAAATGTGAGTTATATGATTTGCAGAAAGGTCTAAGTTATTCAATTTCGAGAGTGACTCAAATGCATTGTCAGGAATTTCTGTTAACTTATTTTGGCTCAAATCTATTGATTTCAACTCAGTGATGTCTTTAAAGTCATCCCGGGTTAAGGTGATGATGTCATTCTGGAAGATGTATAGGTTTTCAGTGGAGATAGGGACACGGGGTACACTGGTGGCCCCACTTTGAACACAAAATATTGTGCTTGGAGATTTGCAGTCACAGATTTCTGGGCAATCACTGGAGAACACCGCTTCACAGGAGAGTAGGAAAAAGGCAATGTGAAGGAACATGATGACAGACCAGCGCTCTGAAACAGAAAAAAGACAAAGAAAATACTTTTATTATTGATTTGTTAGTTGACCTGGTCATATAGGTACATTCTGACAAAAGCCTGAACAGTATATTGACTTTGAGTTTTTCAACACTTTAACAACAAATTGATGGAAAATAGTGGGGGGTTGTTACAACTTTTATAGATCTGACAAATGAAATCTAAACATGTTAGCAGGATAAGCTTTGCATCCAGTAAAACTACTTTTGTTTTTTTTTTCTTTCAAAGCTTTCTGACCTCCGAATTGCACTGAGCTGAGATCAGCAACCTGATTATGTAACTTTTACAATCAGTTTACATCTTAACATGATCAAATTCAAACAAGCAGATGCTGTAATGACAGTTTTGGTCCTAATGTAATATCACAGTAATGTAGGCATTTTGACATATTGTATTCATAAAAAAAAAACCAAACTAATTTAATTGATATAAGTTAACAAAACTAAACTAAATATATACATTTCAAAATTTAGAGTTACATGCAGGGAGAATCGTTACACCTTTAAATGGGTTAAACTAGATGCAGTGCATTACAAAGGATGGACATGTTATAAACCTTTTTTTCTTTTATGAAGAAATTTTGCCCTGTTCAAACCTAAGACATTTACTTTAGGCTACCCCTCCTGACCTATTTAGTGAAAGTGTACACGATGGCATGATTGCAAGGGCTGCATGACAGAAAAAATAAAACACTGAACTGTACAGTATGAATGTGTGACATCTGAATAATAGTCTACAAGTGGAGGATATTCGATACAATTGTGGTTACACCCAGGCCGGAGCTTTAAGCAGGTTCCCCTTCAATGTAGCTCACAACATGTTAAAGAGGGTCTCTAAAAAATCTAATATCATAAGTCAGGTCCTTCAGTAGGACTGTAAAGTTTAACTAACAGCAGAGTGTGTTACTAAGGAAAATGTCACATCATCTTTAAAAAAAAAAAAAAAGGCAAAATTGATCTGAACCCTCCTATAGGAGATTGGTTTCAAACATACCAACATAGAGCAGCAGGTAAAAGTACAGTAAGAGGTCTTGACTTTCACTTGGACATTCGAACACACATTTAAATGTTTCCCCTAAACCACTCAAGAGTTTTTTGTTTTTTTTTCAGCACATACTGTCATGTTGAAAGGATAATCTTTGTCCCACAGGCAGACTGGCCGGATTTCACTCAAGAATATTCCTGTATTTGAACAATCCATTTTCCCTACTGTAGACTTGGACCAACTTCCCAATTTCTGCTGCTGCAAATCATCCCCAACGCTGGATGTTGCTACCACCAAGTTTCACAGTGGGGGTGGTGTTTTGGGAATGATGGGATGTGCTGGGCTTGCACCAGACATAGATTCGTTCCTTGGGTGTAAAAATATGCAGTAAAATGGTGGTGCTACAAAGGAGCCAGCCATTGAAATTTAGATTTAAACTCGAAATGTGTTTTTTTTTTTTTTTTCATTAATACATGATTTTACATCACTTGATGAGTCAAACAAACAGACCACTGGTTTCATACCAAAAGACAGAACTGCCAAGATGGAAATAAAACTTTCATTATGCAGAATCAGAGACTGTTTATAGAACATTGAAACTGCCAATGTTTTCAGGATTCCAGATTACTGCTGGCATGCTGCCTCAGCGAGTAATTTGATGACAGGAAAGGAGAGGAAAGATAATTGTATGTTAGTATCAAAACAGGAAGAGTAAGAGTAGAAACTGGGACACAATGTTATGATAGAGGGGTGCATGGAATAATAAAAAAATGTCTTTCTATATCCATTTCTTATTGTGGTGTTAATAAATAGGCCAATAACTTATTTTAAGGCAGGCTTTTAGACATACTCCTCAGACATACAAAATAGCAGATTATACTAAAAATAAAACACTAACAAGCATATGTTTTTTTTATTCAGCTTTGGAAGGAAGATATTTGTGATTTTTGAGGAAAAAGTTGTATGATTGGGTGAATTTATAAAAGTTATTTACTTCTGCATACTCCTATTCGGATATGTAATTTTATTAGGCAAGTGCACTGGATGTATTTATGTTTGTCCAAAATGTGAGTAAAAAACTGAAGTGATGATCAAAAACATTAGACATCATAATAAAATATAAGGAACTAATTTTACTATATTAAGAAAAAGCCATGAAATCAAGCATGATTCTTTACGTACAGACTTAGTTGCCAGTTTCATTAATTAGTTCAGTTCAGCGCAAATTCACAACACGTCATCTCAAGGCACTTTATTGTTTAACTGATCATATAGTGCAAGCTTGCCAAAAGAATTGGTGTAAGCATAAATAAATACGTTGAATTAGTATTGTGGAAAAGGATTTTCTGTTAATAATATTACTCTGGACCCTTTTCAATAATGAAACCCAGAACATTTTGTTAACACAATTTCTACAGGATCACTATAAACTTTAACAAATGTTGTTGTTTTTTTTGTCTGTGTCAGAGACACAGTTGAAAATAGAGTAATTTTCAACTGATGGAAAAAGTGTTATGTGAAGAGATATTTCATAAATAAAGAATTAAAACATTTCTGAGGGGAGCATAAAACAAACACATATCATAAGCAGCTGGAGCTGGGTTTACTTTTGTATTCTCTTAATTCTAAAACATCCTTTGAATGAAGGATTTATTCCCCACTTTACAGCAGATACCTATAAAAACAACAGTGATGTGAATTTTTTAATTAAGTAAATATACCATATGTAACAAGTTTTAGACTTTTTTTAAATGTATAAGACTACATTATAAGGCAGAAAGTAGATAAATTTCACAGTTATACCTTCCCACCTGCTTTCGATTGGTAACTTTCTACTCTGGTAATTGGTTTGTTGTCATCCTCTTAGCTGCAGCTGCTGAAATATCACATAATTCCTGGAAAAGGTTCTTGCAGTGTGTTTTTTCATTGTTCTATAATTCATCTATAAAACACATGAATTTTTGACTTAGTTCACATTACGCTGAGAACAAGTATTCTTAAAAAGTAGTAAAGGAGTTTTCTTTATTATGGCGTAATATTATTTCTCTTCAAAGTGACATTTGTCTTATTGTGGAATTGCTGTGATCTCTTCTACTGAATGAAGCAACAGGTATTATCATAAGCCCTATCTATCAATGTCTTTGCTTTAAACCTGACAGTGTGTTTCTATGTTCTTTTTTTTTTTAAACAGTAAAATGTAATAAATTAGTGCACAAAAAGATTAACACTGGATACCTACCAAACTCTTCTTTTAATGTGTGCAACATAAAAGAGAAGTATTGCAGTCTAAATAACCAGATTGATGAGGTTTCACAACCTGCAAAGCAACACAGAGACACACAAATGCATCTGGTATGAACATGCATATCTCAAGATGTGTTTTGGACACACCATCATGGTGACGGCACCAAGGATCACATAGGATCTTCTTTCAACTCATAACTCTCACATGCATGTTCCTGCACATGCTTGCAATAGCACATACATCAACTCAGTCCACTACACAGCTGGATTCTGTTACCCAAAATGCACTGCAGCAATCCCTCACTGCGAGGCAGAATGAGAGACCCACATAAACCTTCATCCTCCCCCTGTGAAAAGACAGAGGTAGTGGGAGAACAGAGAATGAAATCTCCATCTGTGGTTCTGTTCTTTAAAGTGGGAGAAGAGGTAAACTAGGATAACAAAAGACTAAAGGAAAGAGCTTAGAGGGGCTCCAAATGTGAAAGCAGCACAGCGAATAGGAGATACTTGCCAAGAATTGGGTTTTATTGCAAGCTAGAGGTATTACAAAGATTTTAAAAGTCACAACAAAAAAATGCAGTAATATAACTTCACAGCATAACTAGAGAAGTAGAAAAATCAGCTATTTAAGACTTTTAGAATTACAAGTATGGGAAACTACAGAGGATAAACGTAGAGGACAGAGACCCAGAGACAAAGAAGCAGGCTGGGATCATAAATTGTGTTAGAGAGTTTACTGGGAGGTTACTTCATTTTCTTCCAGGGAGAAAAAGGACTTGAATTATTGGTACCAAGGTGAAAATATCCTGTTACCTCATGCCTGAAAAGCTTAATCTGTTTAAAAACTTCAATCTTCCTTAAACCCTTAGTGTGTGACTGGTGTGTAAGGAGATCAAGTGTTTCCAGCATGTGCATGTTGTTGCCCAGAAATGTTTACACATAAGCGGTCAAAAATATGTGAACTAATGTCACATTAGTGCATAAATTCCCATAAATAACTAATATATATTTGAAAAGCTTTTAGACACAAAAAATGCTAATTTAACCTTTTTAGTTATTGCTTCAAAATGGAAACACTGGTAGATAATTTCTAACAATCCTGCAAAAACTTGTTATAATGTTTAAGAACATCATATGGAATAGAACAGAAGTCCTAGGGTGGACAATATCAGTGTACTACTATAGTCAAAATACCATTCAATGAGATCTCAGAGAAAATACCAATTTTTTTTCAACCTATTTCAAATATAAATTAATGTAGTGCCCCCCTCCCCATCAATTGCTGTGAATTCCTATTCTGTGGTCTGAGGGGAGGGGGGGATAATTTCACTTTTAGGCTTGTTTGTTGCAAGGGATTATTTTCTACGTGATACAAGCTAATCTATTGATTATGTATTTACAGATATTTGACTGACGACTACATAAAAAGGCATATTTAGAAGTGGAGTACTGTCACGTAGATGAGACGTTTGTAAGGTTTATCAATTAAATGGTAAAATGGTAAATGGCCTATACTTATAGCGCTTTTGAAGTAAGGGTTCATTCACCCATAACCTCACACACTGATGGTGGCAAGCTACAGTGTAGCCACAGCTGCCCTAAAGCTCACTGATAGAAGCGAGGCTGCCGTACACCATCAGTAGACAATGCGAGTCTTGCTCAAGGACACAACAACACTAAAAGCCACTGAAAGCTTGAGCTTGAACCAACAACCCTCTGGTTGCAGGTCAAACTCTTTAATCCTTTCC